TCTGGTTGTAGGAACGATCCCGCCGCTTGCCACCAATTGTAACGGACCGTTTCTCTCAAACGGGGATAAATCCGTTTAGGCGATAATCCCCTTTCCCATAGACCAGCAGCTATTGCAATCACCAACCTCCCGAATTCCAAACTGTACGAATCCCCAACTCAATAACAAGAAATACACGAACTCTGGAAGCAGCCGAACAGGAAAAGCAATACGAACAGCTTACACTCCTGGCAGTCAGCACACAATCCCATTCCCCCAATAACGAGACGACACTTCGTTTTGAGGGTTAAGCAGAATCTCCAGTGCTGGCACACCCAGCCTGGTTTTTATTACAATCCACAAAACATAGTACAGCCCACAGGGCGTTACAAAACAACCAATCACATCACAGTTACATCCCACATATTCCCTCCCCTTATCCTGAGAGGAAACTCAATTATACATACAGTTAAAACATACTTTCTACCCAACTTTCATAACTCCAAAACCATACATCACATTCACATAAAATTACATCTTCACAATCAATCCATTCAGGGGAACAACATATTCAAAAATGGCACACATCAGACAAGGGGTTCAAAAGTTAGTAAAAAGTCCTTTGTGACTAAATGAAGCATGGCTTTCTGGCCCAAACCAGTTTCAGAGTCTTCTATCCTGGAGATAAGTAATTCAATTATCTCCCAGGATAGACACAGACTCCATTAAGCACATGGTTGCAAAAAGACACAACACACTTTAAAATACATAAAGTCACCTTTACACATAACACACAGACATTTCACATATCCCCAGATAGCTCAGGTCTGAGCGCACATTATTAAGTGAATGGCGCTCAGACCACACGAATACAGTGTAATCGCCATGGAGCCAAAGTCTTTACAGTCAGTTTCATACAAATGGGCTCCATGGGATTCCTATCTGGGGTATAACACATTCAAACACATCTACCGAACCCCAGGCAGAAAAGCACGAACACAGCTTTTCTGCAGGCAAAAATAAAGTCTTTTAAAAGGGGGCCATAGTCAGATGGCAGGAGGCTGGCAACCAGGCTTCTCCAGTGCACAGTGGCGAGGTTGGTTTCGCCACAGTAACACAGATTGGGGAAAGGGGTATGAGACAGTAACACAGATTGGGGAAAGGGGTATGAGACAGTAACACAGATTGGGGAAAGGGATATGAGACAGTAACAGAGATTGAGGAAAGGGGTAAGAGACAGTAACAGAGATTGGGGAAAGGGGTAAGAGACAGTAACAGAGATTGGGGAAAGGGGTATGAGACCATAATGGAGATTGGGGAAAGGGGTATGAGACAGTAACACAGATTGGGGAAAGGGATATGAGACAGTAACGGAGATTGAGGAAAGGGGTATGAGACAGGACGGAGAGATTGAGGAAAGGGGTATGAGACAGTGACGGAGATTGGGAAAAGGGGTATGAGACAGTAACACAGATTGGGGAAAGGGGTATGAGACAGTAACAGAGATTGGGGAAAGGGGTAAGAGACAGTAACAGAGATTGGGGAAAGGGGTATGAGACAGTAACAGAGATTGGGGAAAGGGGTATGAGACAGTAACAGAGATTGGGGAAAGGGGTATGAGACAGGACGGAGATTGGGAAAGGGGTATGAGACAGTAACAGAGATTGGGAAAGGGGTAAGAGACAGTAACAGAGATTGGGGAAAGGGGTATGAGACAGTAACAGAGATTGGGGAAAGGGGTATGAGACAGTAATGGAGATTGGGGAAAGGGGTAAGAGACAGTAACACAGATTGGGGAAAGGGGTATGAGACAGTAACAGAGATTGGGGAAAGGGGTATGAGACAGTAACAGAGATTGGGGAAAGGGGTATGAGACAGTAACAGAGATTGGGGAAAGGGGTAAGAGACAGTAACACAGATTGGGGAAAGGGGTATGAGACAGTAACGGAGATTGGGAAAAGGGGTATGAGACAGTAACGGAGAGATTGAGGACAGGGGTATGAGACAGTGATGGAGATGGGAGAGGGGATATGAGGCAATAACGGATATATGGGAACTATCTCTATATACAGTGGATTGCCGCTGTGAGGAGGGATGATGGGGATAGATGCTGTGTGAGAAGGGATGATGTGGATTGGTGCCATGTGAGGAGGAATGATGGGGGTAACGGATCACCTGGCACCCCGACTGGGTACCTCTGTTGAAGGATGCTCCTAGTGCTTCCTGAGGGCTCCAAGCACTCCGGCCGACACCATAACCACCGTAGACTCCTCCAGAGAGCAAGGCAGGAACAAGCTCTTACAAGAGCTTAGTAGTGATTTAGCAAGGGTGTATGACCAGCATAGCAATCCCTTGTAGCAGATTCCCCCAATAAGAGACGGCACTCCAAATTTAGGGTGAAGTAGAACTGAAGCTTTTAATCACTCTGCTTTTATGTACATTTTACACACATAATACCGCCCACAGGGTTTTGCAGAACAACCAATCAATACGTACAATACACTCAGACACTCCCACACAAAATCCTCCACTCTGCCTGTGATATAATTACTGAACACAATGGTCTAATGTAATTATCACAGGCAGGAAAATACACAGTTTTACACAATAATTATAACTCTAAAAGTATACATCACATTCACATTTTCAGAATCAGCATACTCCAAATACAAACATACATCAAAATCATACAAATTGGTCCAGTGGGTCAAAAGTTAGTTGGAAATCCATTTGTGACCGCCTGCAAGCATGGCTTGGGTGTGGTAAGCCAATTATCTCTAGCATACAGAAAATATCTCCATTTACAACAACAGTAAAAACACATAAAAATACATAATTCCTATTATACTGAACAGAACCCCCACATTGATCTGAGCGCTCACTATATCCGAACAGCGCTCAGATACCACAAACATAGTCAAATCGCCATGGGGTTAAACCATAGCAACAAGTTCCAACTGGTCTGGCAGTGTCCCTGGGACAAGGCCCTGCTGGAGAACAATAGACAGGAAACGGGGGAGGGGCACACCTTCTCATGTATTCAAAGGGGCAGAAAAAGTGTTTCAAAATCCAATAAGCCCAAATAATGTCTTTAAAGGGCAATACATGCCAGGGGCCATAGTCACATGGCAGGTGGCTGGCAATCAGTCTTCTCCAATGCCCAGTGGCGAGGTCGGTTTCACCACAATGGGGATTGCCGCTGTGTGAGGAGGGATGATGGGAATCACTGCTGTGTGAGGAAGGATAATGGGAATCGCAGCTGTGTGAGGAAGGATGATGGGAATCGCAGCTGTGTGAGGAAGGATGATGGGAATCACTGCTGTCAGGAAGGATAATAGGAATCACAGCTGTGTGAGGAAGGATGATGGGAATCGCTGCTGTATGAGGACCTGCTAGCAGTTTCTCGTTGTGCTGTCATGTTCCTATTGACGTATTCTCTGTTGGTTGCTGTGTTCCCATCACTCAGGTATCCAGCGTTTCGCCACGCTGCGTTCTCATGGTGAATAGATTTAACCACAATACATTTACCTGGCTGGATCCTCCTTAATTACCGCACAATTACAGCGTTATTTATAGCGGGGAAGTGATGCTTCTGGAACATGACATATTGTGGATACAGAATTAGTTTGAATTTATCTATACTCTGGCATTCACATCTGTCCATCAGGCAGATGTTTTGCCGAGTCCTTCATCCGTGGGATTCTGTTTTTCCAGGAATATGAGTTGTCGGACAGCTGTGAGGATGAATAATGGAGCAGATCTAACAGTTTGAAGGAAGAAGCCTTTAAATAATAATTCAGGAAGTGCAAGTGCGGTGAGATTGGATTGCAAGCTCCTGTGATACAGTGGGAATACTGCACACACTGTGTCAGAGTCCAGCCCTGAGCACATATTGTCCACCATTAACCCTGAGATATGGCTACAATCCAGAGTGTCCCTGGGAGAGCGTTTTATGATACCCCTCAATGAAAACATAAAATAGGTACAATAAATAATCTGTAAAGCATCCTCTGGAGGCCCCAAAAGATAAAAGAGAAATAAAACAGTGATAGTGTGTATTCTTCCAAATTGCTATATAATCATGATTTAAAGTCCTGAAAACATCCCTGCATTTCTTGGTATATGACAGGCATGACATGCCAAGAGATACAAAACACTGCGTTTCTGTATATCCAGGAGTATACTGTGCCATCTGTTCCCATGTGCTGCCTCTGCATGATGTGTGTTAGCAAAACCCAGGCTCAGTTTCAGCTTGTTACTTGTACTTCAGAGCTATATAATGCGTCCTGCATCCATTGTATGACACGGTCTATAGGTGCCCGGCATTGTATTATACGCTCTATAGGTACCCGGCATTGTATGATACGGACTATAGGTACCCGGCATTGTATGATACGGACTATAGGTACCCGGCATTGTATGATACGGTCTATAGGAACCTGGCATTGTATTATACAGTCTATAGGTACCCAGCATTGTATTACATGGTCTATAGGTACCCGGCATTGTATGACACAGTCTATAGGAACCTGGCATTGTTTGACACGGTCTATAGGTACCCGGCATTGTATGATATGGTCTATAGGTACCCGGCATTGTATGACACTGTCTATAGGAACCTGGCATTGTATGACACGGTCTATAGGAACCTGGCATTGTATGACCGGGTTATAGGTACCCAACATTTTATTATACTGTCTATAGGTACCCAGCATTGTATGACGTGGTCTATAGGTACCTGGCATTGTATGACACTGTCTATAGGCACTCGGTATTGTATGACACGGTCTATAGGTATCTGGCATTGTATGATACAGTCTATAGGCACTCGGTATTGTATGACACAGTCTATAGGTACCTGGCATTGTATGATATGGTCTATAGGTACCCAACATTGTATTATACAGTCTATAGGTACCCGGCGTTGTATGATATGGACTATAGGTACCCGGCATTGTATGATACGAATAATAGGTACCCGGGATTGTATGATACGGTCTATAGTAACCTGGCATCGTATGACACGGTGTATAGGAACCTGGCATTGTATGACACGGTCTTTAGGTACCCGGCCTTGTATGACACGGTCTTTAGGTACCCGGCCTTGTATGATACACTCTATAGGTATCAGGCATTGTATGATACGGTCTATAGGTATCTGGCATTGTATTATACAGTCTATAGTTACCCGGCATTGTATTATATGGCCTATAGGTGCCCGGCATTGTATTATACGCTCTATAGGTACCCGGCATTGTATGATACGGACTATAGGTACCCGGCATTGTATGATACGGTCTATAGGAACCTGGCATTGTATTATACAGTCTATAGGTACCCAGCATTGTATTACATGGTCTATAGGTACCCGGCATTGTATGACACAGTCTATAGGAACCTGGCATTGTTTGACACGGTCTATAGGTACCCGGCATTGTATGATATGGTCTATAGGTACCCGGCATTGTATGACACTGTCTATAGGAACCTGGCATTGTATGACACGGTCTATAGGAACCTGGCATTGTATGACCGGGTTATAGGTACCCAACATTTTATTATACTGTCTATAGGTACCCAGCATTGTATGACGTGGTCTATAGGTACCTGGCATTGTATGACACTGTCTATAGGCACTCGGTATTGTATGACACGGTCTATAGGTATCTGGCATTGTATGATACAGTCTATAGGCACTCGGTATTGTATGACACAGTCTATAGGTACCTGGCATTGTATGATATGGTCTATAGGTACCCAACATTGTATTATACAGTCTATAGGTACCCGGCGTTGTATGATATGGACTATAGGTACCCGGCATTGTATGATACGAATAATAGGTACCCGGGATTGTATGATACGGTCTATAGTAACCTGACATCGTATGACACGGTGTATAGGAACCTGGCATTGTATGACACGGTCTTTAGGTACCCGGCCTTGTATGACACGGTCTTTAGGTACCCGGCCTTGTATGATACACTCTATAGGTATCAGGCATTGTATGATACGGTCTATAGGTATCTGGCATTGTATTATACAGTCTATAGTTACCCGGCATTGTATTATATGGCCTATAGGTGCCCGGCATTGTATTATACGCTCTATAGGTACCCGGCATTGTATGATACGGACTATAGGTACCCGGCATTGTATGATACGGTCTATAGGAACCTGGCATTGTATTATACAGTCTATAGGTACCCAGCATTGTATTACATGGTCTATAGGTACCCGGCATTGTATGACACAGTCTATAGGAACCTGGCATTGTTTGACACGGTCTATAGGTACCCGGCATTGTATGATATGGTCTATAGGTACCCGGCATTGTATGACACTGTCTATAGGAACCTGGCATTGTATGACACGGTCTATAGGAACCTGGCATTGTATGACCGGGTTATAGGTACCCAACATTTTATTATACTGTCTATAGGTACCCAGCATTGTATGACGTGGTCTATAGGTACCTGGCATTGTATGACACTGTCTATAGGCACTCGGTATTGTATGACACGGTCTATAGGTATCTGGCATTGTATGATACAGTCTATAGGCACTCGGTATTGTATGACACAGTCTATAGGTACCTGGCATTGTATGATATGGTCTATAGGTACCCAACATTGTATTATACAGTCTATAGGTACCCGGCGTTGTATGATATGGACTATAGGTACCCGGCATTGTATGATACGAATAATAGGTACCCGGGATTGTATGATACGGTCTATAGTAACCTGGCATCGTATGACACGGTGTATAGGAACCTGGCATTGTATGACACGGTCTTTAGGTACCCGGCCTTGTATGACACGGTCTTTAGGTACCCGGCCTTGTATGATACACTCTATAGGTATCAGGCATTGTATGATACGGTCTATAGGTATCTGGCATTGTATTATACAGTCTATAGTTACCCGGCATTGTATTATATGGCCTATAGGTGCCCGGCATTGTATTATACGCTCTATAGGTACCCGGCATTGTATGATACGGACTATAGGTACCCGGCATTGTATGATACGGTCTATAGGAACCTGGCATTGTATTATACAGTCTATAGGTACCCAGCATTGTATTACATGGTCTATAGGTACCCGGCATTGTATGACACAGTCTATAGGAACCTGGCATTGTTTGACACGGTCTATAGGTACCCGGCATTGTATGATATGGTCTATAGGTACCCGGCATTGTATGACACTGTCTATAGGAACCTGGCATTGTATGACATGGTCTATAGGCACCTGGTTTTGTATGATACAGTCTATCTATAGGTACCCGGCTTAGTATGACATGGTCTATAGGAACCCGGTATTGTATGATATGGTCTGTTTGTACCTGGCATTGTATGACACTGTCTATAGGTACTTGGAATGGTATGATACGGTCTATAGGTACCTGGCATTGTACTATATGGTCTATAGGTAGCCGGCATTGTTTGACACGGTCTATAGGAACCTGGCATTGTATGACACGATCTATAGGTACCTGGCTTTGTATAATACGGTCTATAGGTACCCAACATTGTATGATACAGTCTATAGGTACCCGGCATTGTATGATAGGGACTATAGGTACTCGGCATTGTATGATACGGTCTATAGGTACCTGGCATTGTATGATATGGTCTATAGTAACCTGGCATTGTATGACACGGTCTATAGGAACCTGGCATTGTATGACCGGGTTATAGGTACCCAACATTTTATTATACTGTCTATAGGTAACCAGCATTGTATGACGTGGTCTATAGGTACCTGGCATTGTATGACACTGTCTATAGGCACTCGGTATTGTATGACACGGTCTATAGGTATCTGGCATTGTATGATACAGTCTATAGGCACTCGGTATTGTATGACACAGTCTATAGGTACCTGGCATTGTATGATATGGTCTATAGGTACCCGGCGTTGTATGATATGGACTATAGGTACCCGGCATTGTATGATACGAATAATAGGTACCCGGGATTGTATGATACGGTCTATAGTAACCTGGCATCGTATGACACGGTGTATAGGAACCTGGCATTGTATGACACGGTCTTTAGGTACCCGGCCTTGTATGACACGGTCTTTAGGTACCCGGCCTTGTATGATACACTCTATAGGTATCAGGCATTGTATGATACGGTCTATAGGTATCCGGCATTGTATTATACAGTCTATAGTTACCCGGCATTGTATTATATGGCCTATAGGTACCTGGCATTGTATGACACAGTCTATAGGAACCTGGCATTGTATGATACAGTCTATAGGTACCCGGCATGTATTCAAGGTCTGTAGGTACCCGGCATAGTTTGACATGGTCTATAGGCACCTGGTATTGTATGATATGGTCTATTTGTACCTGGCATTGTATGACACGGTCTATAGGTACCTGGAATGGTATGACACGGTCTATAAGTACCGGGTATTGTATTGTACGGTCTCTGGGTACCTGGCATTGTATGACACGGTCCATATTGGTTACCTGTCATTGTATGATACGGTCAATAGGCACTCTGTATTCTATGACGCGGTCTATAGGAACCTGGCATTGTATGATACAGTCTATAGGTACCCGGCGTATTGTATGACACTGCCTATAGGTATCTGGCATTGTATGACACAGTCTATAGGCACTCGGTATTGTATGACACTGTCTATAGGCACTCGGTATTGTATGATACGGTCTATAGGCACTCGGTATAGTATAACACTGCCTATAGGTATCTGGCATTGTATGACACAGTCTATAGGCACTCGGTATTGTATGACACGGTCTATAGGCACTCGGTATTGTATGAAACGGTCTATAGGAACCTGGCATTGTATGACACGGTCTATAGGTACCCGGCATTGTATGACGCGGTTCATAGGGACCCATTATCTTTACGCAGTCTGTATCGGTCAAATCATTAAATGCCTTAAAACAAAATGCACTTATATTGCATTTGTTTGATGTAAAAAACAAAAAAATACTATATTTCTGAATAATCTCGATGCGCTGTGGAACATGTTGACAAACTGATTTGAGTTGCCATTTGTGTGGAATAGTTATACATATCGGAATGAGATTGCAGCTCTGGGTGAATGACACATTAAAGAGCTATTAGGATGCAGCTCTGAGTATGATCCAATTCGCAGAGGATACAGATTATCTCTCTAAACGTATGCGCAGGTTTCTCGAGAAGTGAGAGAATTACATTCATAATGAGGGGTAACCTGCCTCGTCACTTGTAATCTAGCACCAGGAGATCGGAAGCCCTTATAAATGGGACATTTAGAGAAGGAATCGCACACAGCTGAACAGACATTCTAATATACTGGACTACGCGGGTGGAAGAGATAATGGGATGTGCTGCAAGAAAAGCGATTTCAATGTAACATAAACAACGTATTCTTCATAGTGCGGGTTTAAGTAATTACGTCTGCCAGTTGGAGCATTTTATTTCACATCGTTTTCTAATGTTTGTCTGTGATACTCCAACAGAAATGTGCCGCGTGATCCCTTCCTACACCAAACGAGTCAATCACTGATCATAACGTTACCAATTTAACTGAGAACGGTTGACAAGGAGACTGGAAATCCAGTTGAAGTGGAGAATTTGTCCATTTTGGCCAAGTTTAGTAAATAAATGTAAGTGAATTAACAATTAGAAAAAGTGACACCAAATTACCGAGGTTATGAAATTGTCAAAGCTTGAGTTTTGTGGTCTACATTTTGTTAGTCAGTTCTTTACTCCCCACGGAGTCCTGATTAACATATACATCCCAAATCCTCAGATGCCTGTTACGCTCTACTTCAGAAGTATCCAAACTGTGAGCCAAAGGACACAACGATTCGGCATCCACTCCCTCACATTCCGGAATGGTTACATCTGCTGTTTGTCATTAGCACATCTCTCCCACCACAACTTTTCCTGCCATGCTATCAAACTTCACAACATTGCAGGAAAGCTTACCACAATGGAACTGCCAAGGGCATTACAATTAATGATAAAACGTGAATATTAAAAACCGTATAATAAGTAAAACAGTACAACGCGTTTCGCGCTATTCATAAGGCTTTTATTAGAGAGCAATTTTGCTAAAATATTTTTCAGAACAGAAGTAACTGAATGAGTAAATGACCTGCATGTGGGTGAAATTAGCTATGTTATTAGTTTGGACAGAATATGTAGATTATACGGTACCCATCGTGTGTAGTGATTAAGCAGAAATCTGACATTTCTCTACTGTTTGGAAGGTACGTTGCAGTTATTACACCTGAGCGTGGTGAACTTTGATTACCTATAAATAATTCCTGATCGTGAAGTGGCCTTCTCAGAAAATGCAGGATTTTATTTTAATTATTTTTTAGAGCAATTCTTAAAAAGTCAGGTCGCAGCTGGAGCTGTAAATTATTGCAGAAATACAATTGCTGAATTCGAATTTATACACGGCCGCGAGGCCAACGCATTAGGAGGAGGTAGAATCTATTATCTAAAATGAATGTAGCACGGAAAGAGTAATTCTGCTACCTGTGATGGATTGTAAGCTCTTTGGGATAATGTCAGGGTTCATCTCTCGTTTCAAAATCCAGGAAAATATCCTTCATGGCTGAAATATTAAATCCATACAGAGAATTGCATCATGCTCACAAATGTTTATCGTTTTTTTGTTGAATCTAATATTTTGTCCTTCATTTACTCCACCCCAAAAGAACCCTGTGTCGAAAAACCGTCTAAAATCCGGTGTTTGTTAAATTATTGATAACTTGTTGACATTGAGCGATGGGTTTATCCATTATTTAGTAGCTCTCGCCTTTACAGGCAAAACACTACAGGAAATCAATATTTACACATATTATTTACTAACTGTAACCTTTATGGTCAGTAGTAACACAATACCAATGATTACAAGTATTATTTAGTAAATCTAACCTTCTCCAATCGATCAATTCCAGGAGATCAATATTTAACCATATTATTTGGTTTCTAACCTTTCCAGTCAGTAAATTAAATTTTATTAACAACACTTGCTGATATAATTGCATTACTGACGAGGGATTATTTGATGTGAAATTTACAGTGTGATCTAAGGTACATTGTTAGAATTACATCACAAATAATATGATGATCTTAGAGAAACTCAACAGTTTGTCCTTCGGTAAATCCTTGCTCTGGTCTCAAAATTTTCGGCGATTGTGCCTTCACAGAGAAAACCCATACCGTTTGTATATCAGACTGATCCCGCCCATAACGGCAGTACAGATCCAAAATACCGACACGTTACGGTACTATGTCACACATTTGTCCATGGTCAAGTTTTACCAGGACAGACACTCCCGTCACTTCGGTGAAACCAGCCTCATAAAAAATGATTATGGACTTTTCCAATAATTCTCCTTATATTTCAAGGTGATTGAGTGATGTGGAGAAGTATATTTGCGTTCATTGTACTTACCACCTGTTATTGTGCAGACCCTCTGGTTTAATCTATAAACTGAAATATGTTGCACCCGCTGACACGTGTAATCAGTGTTATGGAATTTCGTGAATATTTAACTTTAGTTTTGCATGACAGGAATGGGAAAAGGGGTTGGATTCAAAGAGATCACCAGAACACCATCACCACTTCTCTGTGAAACGATAATATTTCAGTGAGCTCTGTGCCCCTTATCGTCTTACAGCCTATTTATTAACAAACAATACAGCAATAGTGCACAGCGTATGGACCAGTATGGAAAATATTATAAATCCATACCCTTAACCATACACACAGCGACCCAAAGGTGTATAGAAAAAAGGTGTTTCTACCCAATATTCTGGAGTAGGTATCAATTTTTTGGAGCCTGTGTATATAACTGCATCAGGTAATTCCACTTTGGTGTGATATTAGGGCTTTAATTGAGGTTTCAGAGATTACTTGGTCCTCACTGCTGAAAAACAGGAAAGGCAAAACCAGTTAGGATAAAAGTGAATAGCATTAATTTCAAACAATAATAAAAACCTTACATTAAGGTAACTGGTGTGCCAAAGTCCAGATTCACAAACCTACAGCAAGCACAACGCGTTTCAACACTTTTCGTGTGTCTTCCTCAGGTGCCATGGATTGCTGTATGAACGAATAAGGAGTATGGGGGCGGAGCTTAGCGACGATAGTAGGATTTAAAAGCAGGACCTCCATATAGCAATCCATGGCACCTGAGGAAGGCACAGGAAAAGTGTTGAAACGCGTTGCGCTTGCTGTATTTTTGTAAATCTGGACTTGGGCACACCAGTATGGATTTATAATATATTCCA